AATATATATATATATTATTATTAATTTTTTTTTTTTGCTTTGTTTGAACTGCCACGAGTGCGCACGGGGACAGTGCCCGACAGGAACCGAAGTCACCCCCTGTGATCCGTGTTAACTTGCCTTGGAATGCTTTGTTATTAAAACACTCTGAACATAATTTTGCATCCAGTTCTTGATCCCAGGAGGGTCTCTGGTGGTGGATTTATTTTTTTTTTTTTCTGTGGAATAAATTGGCGGATTGGTACCAAAGACATCCCACCACGCCCTCTGTGTGCGTTGCTGACCAGGCAGCTTCTGAGGCGTTTGCGTTCTGTGCTGAGGTTTCCTTTCTGGTTTGCACAGGGGAGTTTTTAACTTCGTTCTCAAAGGTTTCGTGCAATAAGCTTCGAGGGAAATTTCGGAAACAATCTCAAGAAGGAAAAAAACTAAACCAAATTTTAGCATGGGCGGCCTTTGGTCTTTTCCCCCCCGCGAGGAGTCGATGGCCCCGAGTGCTCAGCCCCAGCTGCTGGGGGGGGGCACGATGGGGGTGACTGGAAAAACCCCATCCCAAATCCAGGGAGGGCATCTCCAAGGTGCCATGGCCGAGTCCTGCTGCTCTCCACGGCTGCAGGGACCACACCAAAGTCCCTGGAAGCTTTTGTGGGAGGGCACCTGTAGCTGCATCGTGTCCTGCTCCGTCCCACTCTTACGAGTTCACGGACGTGGATCCCTAAAACACCCCCCCTGCACTCCCAGCTCTCCCCTTGGAGCACAGGAATGTGGGGATACCTCTCTCCTGGACCTGCCCCAAACAGAACCACCCCAACCAGGTGGGTTTTGGCCCCTGGTTCTTCCTCTCCAGCATCTCCCCCTGCTGAGTTCTGCTCTCCTCCCACTCACCAAAGGCCCCAATTTTCATCCAGCAAAGCCCATGGCTAAAACTGCCTTTAGTTTATTTCCTCCCCTTCAATAAATATATATATATACAGTATGAAATCAACATTTATGTGTGTGTATATATATTTATCCCGCGCTCTCACAACAAAACTTTCCTTTGAAGAGGGCACGCAGAGCCGAGTTTTTCTTTTCCAGTAACTAAGTATCATAAGCACTGGTATTTTTGTATAAAAACGGGAGAAAAAATAAAATACAAAACAAAAGACTGAATATTATGTGGTATGCATGACATTAAACAACAACAACAAAAAAAAATGGTGGTTTCAAAGCAATATGTACCCTGGTGTGTTTGCCATATCCTACAGTCCAGCTTAAAGTGCACCTGATCTGTATTGCATTTTGATATTAATCTCTATGTACAATGTTTTGCATGTAATTTATATGGTTCTTGGGAGAAAAAAAAAAAAAAAAAGAATCTGAATGAATTGTCAGTTGGCTTCTTCTGAGCAAACAGACTCCAAGCAGAGCTAATTCTCCGAGTGGAAGCAGAAGAGTGGTTGAGGGGTGGGAAAAGGGGGTACACAGTTCAAAACCAGGCGTGCTGGGGGTGGGGGAGAAGGAGGATGGTTTGGAATCAATAAAGCTTTGGCTGTTGAGCAGAAACAATGCGCGAGTGCATCCAGAGAATAAACTGTGCCCACGTGTAACTGTGACCTCCTCAGTGTGTCCAGCAGCTTGGGAAATCAATGCCAGGTGCTGGAGGACCGGCTGGGCTTCCCATGGGAGCGTGGGAGTGGGGCCTGCGGGGAGGAAGGAGGGATGGGGGTCAAAACAGACCCTGCTGCCACCAGAGCTCCCCTCAGGTTGGGGTTTATCTCCGTGTAAACCTCCCTGCTGAGTGTCCGGGGCTGGCTGGTCACACCCAGGACTCTGCCTCGGGTGTGGCTTCTCCCACCTCCAGGCAAAGTCCAGGATTTGCTGTCAAACACCACCAAATTGGTGCTGCTGGGCTGTGTGGAGCTGCCCTGGAACACGGAACCTCCCTTGTCCTATTCTCCTGGAGCACAGATCTCTCTTTGTCCCATTCCCTTGGAACACAGATCCTTCTTTGTCCTGTTCCCTGGAGCACAGATCCTCCCTTGTCCCAGTCCCCAGGAACAGTTCTCCCCTTGTTCCCTTCCCCAATCCCGTATGTGGTGTCTCTGAGGTGATCCTTGGTGGAGGTTGTGATCTCCAAGTCCTGGAGACCAGCTTTGAGCCCTGTCCTGCCTCCATACCGAGAGTACTTTGCCTCCCTTTGCCCAGATAAGGACAACGGGAAATAAAAGCCACCAGCCCCTTAAATACTCTCCTTCCCAAGTAGGTTGCTCGCACTGGAGCTGTTTTTCACAGAGAGGCAGTGGCTTCTCTGTGTCTTTAGTATCTCCAGGACCATGATGAGAAGATCCCACTGGGCTGTGAGGATCCAAAAGTTCAATGCAAAACATCTCCAAGCCGGTCCTTGGAGCTGATGCCAAGCGACACAAATGGGGTGGAAAAGCTTTGCTGTGCAGCATCAGCCTCTTCCCTGCTTTCCCAGGGACGTGTCCGTGCTCAGCTCTTAAATAACCACAACAGCCACAATCCTTTCTATTTTTTTTTTTTTTTTTTGGAAACATAAAAGAAACCAAACAAATCACAGGATTTTGAAGTCACTGAGTGGGGAAATGGCCGTGCCTGCTGTGCCAGAGCTGGGCTGCCCAGGGCCCCTCTCCACGAGGATGGACGTGGCTCCTGCTGCTCGGATGGCTCCTTCCTGGCGCCCCAGATCCACAGTCCCACCCGCCCCACAGCGAAGGGCTCTGCACCCTTTTTGAGAGTTTTTGGGGGGTCTGAGGCTCTGGCGGGGAGGAAGAAAACCCAAATCCCACAGCAAAGCCTCCCGCCCGCGCACCCCCGGCCATGTTTCCGGCGCCCGCCCGCCCCGCCCCGCCCGGTGCCGGCGGCCGGAAGTGGCGGGCGGTGAAGCCGTTCCGGCCGCCATCTTGGCGGTGGGCGGGCTGAGGTTGCCGGTGCGCGCGGCGCCATCTTTGAGCCTGGCGCGGGGGACGGCGGCGGCCCCGGCGGATCGCGGGGACAGCGCGGGGACGCGGCGGGGACACGGCGGCCCCCGGGGGCTCGGTAAAGTCCCTGATCGACCATAAATAACAGCCCCCTCGGTAGCCCGCGGCGGCCGTGGGGATGGCCCCTCTGGCCCGTTCCGCGGGGGCCGCAGGCCGCGTCTCCCCGCGCTCTCCCCACAGGGGTGTCCGCGGCCACCGGGGCGGGGGGGGCCGGGGTGAGGTGGAATGAGGTGGGAATGGTGTGGGATGAGATTGGGATGAGGTTGGGATGGGGCAGGTTCCCTCCCGCAGGGTTTCGGGAGGGGGGAGCTCCGTGCCCGGGTAGGCCCCAGGCCCTTCCCCAGACATTCCCCCCCCCCCGAGCAGCTGCTTCATAAAAATCCTTATTTCCAGGTAAAACCTTTTGCCTCCCCTGCCCTAGCAAAGCCTTTGAGGGGCATCTCCAGTGTAGTCATCCAATTGCTCCTCGTTCCGTAGGATCTGAGTAACTCTGCGTGCACCCGGTTCTTAATTCCTCCTTTTTAGGGCGTTTAAAACGACGCCATCGCGCGGGAGGGGGTGTTTGTTGGGGTTTTGTTTCTTAAAAGGATTGGAGCTGAGAGGTTTCTCTTTTCTTCTCCCCGTCGATGGTTTCGTTATGGAAGCGCCAAAAGGGATTTTTTTTTTTTCCCGTTGCAGTGGAGCCTCCAGGATGTTCCCAGGGATCGAGCTCTGGGCCGCAATTCCACAGCTACTGTATCTGAACCCTTTTTACAAGATGGGTTCAAAATCTCTTAATACAAACATTTCACTGGAGTTCTGGGGGAAAAAAGTGTTTAAAGTTCTCATCAGCTTGGATCAGAGGCCTGCTGAGTGCACCAGAGTTACTCATTTTTATTCTGATTTTCTGGGGTGAATTCAGTTGATTTTTGCTTAGCACTCAGATTGCCACTTTAAAGAAAAAAGGTGTTTAATTAACTTTGTTTTATAATTAAATTACCTTTAGGGAGTTTAGAACTTTTAAGGTTTTTTTCATTGGGGTTTTTGTGGGGGTTTTTTTGTTGATTTTTTTTTTTTGTTATTGTTGTTAATTGTTTTAAAGTTTTGCTTTATTCCCGTTCTTTAAACAAGATCCATTCAAATTCTGAACAGGAATATGGAAATATGGAAACCCAAATGTGGAATATGGAAAACTGCTGAGCTGATTTAGTTTAAAGGAACTCAATCTGAAGGGATATTTTCTTTTTTTCCCCCAAGCTGGTGGATGTAGGAATGTTGAGTTATAGGTGTGTCTCACTTCCCAAGGAAAGGAAATACCACCTTCCAGACCGGGAATTCCTTGTGATTTGTGTGTGAATGCCTTTGCTCAGCCAAGCCATGACCCTTAATTACCATCGATTGAAGTGTTGCCTTGTGCAAACTGAAGAATTCGGCCTTGAAACTTAATCTAAAACTCCCAAAAGCAAAACACTTGGAAAAATGTGTCTCCTTGAACCTCCACACGTAGGAGCTCCGGGAATTTTTAGAATTAGGTTCCAAGGAATCTGGATGACACAAAGTCTGTTTTTGAAGGTGCTAAAGGTCAAGAGTGAATAATCCCATGGATATGGAAGAAGGGAAGGAAACCCTGCACTTAAATTCCTGTTTTATTCCCTTTATCAAGCAGTCAAAAAACAGTAACACGTATGAGAACCCAACTTTTCCTCTCTTTATTTTAGATTTGGGAAAATTCCTTGCCAAAAAAACCCAAAACAAAACCTTGGAAAATTCACTAGTGTTTGTGTGAGTAAAAGGTTCCAACCATTTATTACTGATCTGTGAGAACAATTTCATTCAGTTTTGTTCCCCAAGAATCCGAAATCCTTTTTGCACAGAAATGTGCAGTGAAAGGGGTAAATCACTTTTATTTGAATTTTAGCTGGTCTGGTTGCAGGTCAAAAAACGAGAATCCTAAAAATCTTAATGTTATAAGAATATAAAAATAAGTGCATGACTTCACATAAAAAAAAAAAAATGCTGTAGCTCAAGAAATCGGGTTCTGGTGGCACCAAAAAAATCATCAGCTGGATTGGACCTAAACCATTTCCCAATGATCTTGCAGCGATGGATGATGATGGATCCATGGATTAGGGAACAGCAAATTCGTAGCATGTGATGGAAAACCAAATTATTTCCCAAAATCCAAGCGATTCACAAGCCCTGGTTCCATGCAGCCATGCCACTCCCTCCGGGGGCACTTCCCTGCTCCCCAGGGCTTGTCCTTGCTCTGCTTTATCCTTCCTGCTCCTGCCCTGTCTGCTGAGGGTTAGAGCCATTCCCGAGGGATGGACGCCCCTGGGTGGATGTGTTTGTCCCTGGATGGCTGTGTTTTTTTTCCCTGGATGGCTGTGTTTGTCCCTGGATGGCTGTGTTTGTCCCTGGATGGCTGTGTTTGTCCCTGGATGGATGTGTTTATGTGTGCACGGAGGGATGTTTGTGTGCTGCCCCCAAAACCCCCCATCCCAACTAACCCCTGGCAGCATCACCCCCGACTCCTATCCAGATATTACGGAGATATTTCATTTTTTCCCCCATTTTTCTCCAAATGAGAGGCTTTGCCTGCAGTTTGCTGTGGCAAATAGCCAGAAATTCTCATTTTTTGCTCTCGCTCTCACTTTATTCTCCCTCCTCTGGCGTGTGTATAAACACATCTGTGCATGTGGGTTTATACACACAAATGTGGGGTTTTCTGTACAGGTAATAAAGATGGGGGAAGGTTTTTGTGTTTTCTTAATAGGTGAAGAAATCTTGGAAGACCAGAAATTGCAACTTACTGAATGTTAAATTATTAAAAAAAAAAAAAAAAAAAAAAAATTAGAAATTGCCCGGCTGTGGAAGATGGAGCCTCATTTTTGCAGCCACTTTGAATCCCAAGTTCATCTTTAAATGCGCTGGGGCTTCTTTTGGTGGTTTTTTGGTGGTTTTTTGGAAGAGCTAAGTAACCCTGGCTGTCTCCAGGCTGACAGTGTTCCAATGGACTTGCTTCCTCCATTAGTTGTAAGATGTTTGAGAGCACATCCTAAGTTTGAATTGTGGATGAGAGGTTCCCTTGGCAATGTGAGAAGGAAAATTCTTTCTACCCCTTTGTTATTAATTCATGGACTCAAGTGTTGGTTCGGCCTACAGGAGAAGGGAACTGGATGTCTGGGAAGATCAAAGTCTGTGCTGAAGTTGTCCAGGTGTGTGAACCCCAAAATCCACAGGGACTGGAAAAATGTTTGATGTATCTGTTGTATGTGATAGAAATTATTAGTAATTGATTAATCATGTAATAGTTCAAATGTCACTTCAAAAGATGGGATATTATTAAGATGTGTTATTAAGTAATATCAATGTGATATTATTGAGCAGTTATATTAAGATATATTATTATTACTATTATTATTTATATGTAATTATTAAGGCATAATTTGAAATGTAATATCAATATCAGTTATATTATCAATGTATCAGTATCAGTTATATTATCAATATATCAATATCAATTGTATTATCAATATATCAGTATCAACTGTATTATCAATATATCAGTATCCATTTGTATTATCAATATAAATTATATCAGCATCATTAATAACTCAGGATGATGACCAGTTTTTTAAGAAGTGGCTCGCTTTTAGGCTTACAGCCACACACCATTTTTTTCTCTGCTCCAAAATATATAACTGTGATTAAAATCCCAGAATAGGCCTTGTGCTGACAACATTCGTGCGGTTTTACACAAATTTGGCAGAGTTTTTGTGACCAGCTGATTTCAACACATTTGCCCCCCTCAAGAGATAAATTTGACTAACAGAAAACAGCTGTAAAAATGCTCATTACTCAGTTCTTTGTCACTTATTGATCCCTTTCTTCAGGGTTACTTTTAAAAAGAAGATTTCACTGCTAAGCCAGTCGAAGACTTTGAGTCCCAGAAAAGTGAAGCCAGTTCTTGCCAAGTCTGGAGGAAGACCCTGAGAGCAAACCCTGAGAGCTCATTCCAGGAATTTATCCATTATGTCTAACCAAGGAGATGACTGCTACTTCTACTTCTATTCCACGTGCAACAAGGTGTGTTTGGGAGCCTTTTCCTTTGGGATTTGGGTTTTCCCTTCTTATTTTATAAGCAAGGAGGGGGAAGCATGCGAGGAGACACACAGGTTGCTGTTAACTTAATTAACTGCTTCCAGCTCCAAAAAAGTGGGCATTTTTTTAGGCTGGCTGGTTTTATATCCCTTTTTTTCCCTGCTTTCCTCTGGATTCCAGGGAGACAGCTGTGCCTTCCGCCACTGTGAGGCTGCTCTGGGAAGTGAGACCGTCTGCACCCTCTGGCAGGAGGGTCGTTGTTTCAGGAACGTCTGCAGGTTCAGGCACATGGAGATCGATGTGAGTGTTTGCAAAACAAAGCAAGGGCAGCCTTTTTCAGTGCTGTGGGTGGGTGAATGTGCTTTTGCAGGATAGATTTACCTGCTTTAAAGGGATACTGGTCACTAGGAGGGGGGTGGGAGGAAGCTGGGGGAAGAAAAATCGATTTCCGAGGTGTATCTCGGCAGGAAATGTTTGCATTAGGTGCTGATGTTATTTGCTTAATCAGAGGTAGAAGCAACCCCATGGATCACACGGCTTAAATGTGCTGGGAAACAGCCTCCTGAGGGCTGGGCTGGAAGATGGCCTGGCAGGTTCCTTCTGCCCTGAATTTCTTCAGATAACATTATCCCGACCTCTTGGAGCAGTACAGGGAGGGGAGAAACCAGATGGGAAGGAGCCAGTGCTCTGAAAGATAAATTCAGATAGATTTAACTGGGCAATTGAAGCCGGTTTTCCCTCTGAATAATCCCATTATTTTGGGGTTTGTACTAGTTTAACCCTGAGTTGATGTGTCAGGCTGGCCTCTCTTCCCCAGCTGAGTGACAGGAAAGCAAAGCCAGACAATATTTAGTTGTTCCCCCCCCTACACAAACTCTGTTTGTGTGCCCCGAAATATTTTTAGCGAGAAGTTGACCTTTGGAATGGTATTTCAGCGCTGCCCTGCAACAGTCCTGTCTCTGACATGTTATGAAAGTGAGTCTCTTTGCAAGTCTGAGCTTGGCTTTGTCCCTTCCCTCAGAAAAAGCGGAGCGAGATCGCCTGTTACTGGGAGAACCAGCCCGGGGGCTGCCAGAAGTCCAACTGTGCTTTCCATCACACCAAAGGCCGTTATGTCGATGGGCTCTTCCTACCCCCCAGCAAAAGTGAGTTTCTCAGCTCCATTTTCTGTAATCCTTCAATATTTAGTCGTGAATATTGCTTAGGATGGGGTGAAACACTGGAGAGGCTCCGGGAATCGGTCATTCATGAGTGCAGGGAGAAGTCTGCAGTCACGGGCTCTCAGCTGAATGGAATGTAGTTCTGGGGTTTAATTTTATTTTCATGCTCAGCTCCTCTGTGATCTTTGCCTTTCAGGTTCCTTTCCCCTCGTTTAGTCCTTTCTGGGTGGGGAGGTGGGTGTGTGAGGGAAACCACAGTGTAAGCAGGGTGGGGATAAGGAAACTAAATTCAGTAGCCAGTTGGGTTTATCTTATCTACCTTCCCTGTCATACCTGCAACACTGGGGTCAGTTTGATATGGCCAGGTGACAAATGATCTCCTTTTCCTCAGCCACACTCCCAAGTCCACCTGAGTCTGCAGAAGACGATGTGAAAATGGCTCAGATGTCGCTGCAGCAAAACAAACTCTCTGTGCAGTCCAACCCCTCCCCACAGCTGAGGGGGGTGATGAAAGTGGAGAACTCAGAAAATGTCCCGAGTCCTACACACCCTCCAGTTGTCATCAATGCTGCAGATGATGATGAAGATGATGATGGTGAGCATTTTTTACTTAGTGAAGGTATTCCTACTGTAAGTGAATATATAAATCCCATAATACCTGAATTTTGTAGTGGTTAAAACTACAGGCGAGAGTCTGGAGTCCTAAATATCTTTATGGGTTGAAATGTCATTGTATGAGCTGCATAAACATGAACATGTGTGATCCCTACTCCATAAATTAATTGGTTTATTTTTGCCTTTCAGACCAGCTTTCTGAAGAAGGAGAAGAAACTAAAACACCTGTCCAGCAGCCAGCCACAGAAGCCCATAATGGATTGAGGCTGATTTCCACTAGGAAATCCAATGCTAATACAAAGCAAGGTATTCCAGCAGCTGTAGGAGGGTGGATTGGAAGGAGAATTTGACAATGGAAAGCAATATGTTCTAAAAACACAATAGAACATGAGGTCACTGAAGGGAGTCATTCCCATCTAATAATGTCATATGTCCCAAGGAGGTAAACTCCTCCTGGTTTGCTTTTGTGGAACAAAACAGAGCCACAACATGGAGTTTAAATGCCTGCAGATGTGTCCTTTCAGACATTGTGCAAATGCCAGAGGAATCTTTAATCCCTCTGCATTACATTAATGCTTGGAAGTGGAGATCTTACCCTGTAGGATGGAGGAGGGTGAAGGAAGGTGCCAATTCCTTACCAAAATACCATCTGTTCTGGGGCTGTTTTTACTCATGGGGAGTGTTGACAGGGTTTATTCAAAATGCCCTTAAGCCTCAGTTTCATGAACTGTTCCCTGCTTTCAGATGACAATTTAAATTTCGGAATAAAAACACTCGAAGAAATCAAATTGAAGAAACTGAAGGAAAAAGCCAAAAAACAAGGTGGTGAGTTAATATCCCCCATCTTCCCGTCCTTCTGCCTTCTGTTCACCTTATCCTTGTTTTTAATCCTTCTGATATTACCTGGATGGCTGGAATTTGCAGGAGAAGGATGGGGTTTTTTGCACTGTTGGGCTCAGAGTGGGAGATGGTTTTTGCAGCTGAGAGCTGCTTGGGGGACAGACTTTTGGGGGCCTTGAGCTGCTTTGGCGTGTGAGCTGTTTTTGAAGCAGCTGGTGTTCCTGCTTGGAATTCCAAGGGCAAATCCAAGGGGAAACTGCTCATCTCTCTTATTTACATGCACTGCTTGTTGTGTGTTTGGCAGTAATGAGTAACTGATGTTTTTGGTCTCCGGGATGGTTCTTCTGTTTTGTTTGGTTGGGTTGTTTCCCTAAACATCCTTGTTTGTTCCGTGCTCTGATCAGAAGGTCCCTCAGGAGTTGCTGTTGATCCGCTCCAAGCTCGGACAATTCCTGTGCCAGAGAAGGAAAACGTAAGGACAGTGCTGAGAACTGTGACTCTGTCCTCAAAGGAAGGTAAGAACTTCCATTTCACGGCTCCTAAATCAAACTGCTCAGTAATGATTAACTGCCTTTTCTAATTCAAACCACTTGAGGCTTGAAGGCCCTGGTTGTGTTGGAAAGGGTTGGAATCTGGAGGTGCTGGATTTGTTACATTGCAGTGAAAGATCAAGGAGAGGTTTTTCTCATTAAGCCATAACTGATCATATCTTATCACATCCTCCAGACTCTCAAATGTGTTACATTTCACTTTGAGGTTGAGTTGTAGAAGTGCAGTAGCAGCAGGGAGAGGCTGATGGCAAAGCAAGAGTGAGAGTGCAGAGAAGAGGTTAATTAAAAACAGGAGTAATGAAAGGGAAGATCTAGAAGATGGAATTATACAAGTAGCCAATTTTTGAAGCATTGAAGAGGCTGACAGTGGCAGTTGTGTGATAGGAGTCTGTATAAATTAATTTTAAAGGAAATTATAAATTCTTTTCAAAGGCAAAAAACATGTAGAACCACTTCTACTCACAGTCATTCATTAGTTACGGGGTTTGGCTACCAAAGGAGTGTCATTTTTAGGGTCATGGGCTGGAAGGATGATGCTTTTACTGGCTGCTGGTTTCTGTGCACTGAACAGATGATTCTTTGTTTTAGGTGAGGATCCTGTGATCCAGCTGAATCTTCCTGACAGACTGGGAAAACGGAAAACTCTCATAGGTGAGAGCTTTTTGTGAGCTGCTCTTTGGGTGCCCTCACTTAAAGGTATTTTTGGGGAGGAAATTACATGATGTGCATTGGTTGCAAGCCCACCAAATTCTGTTAGCAACTGAAAGGCAAATACCAGAAAATAAACCCGGAAGGACTGAAGTCTGTGGCTGACTGTTGGAAAATCCTCCTGCAGAGAAACCTTCTGAAAGTATTTTCCCCTTTGTGTCTTTCTGAAGGTGGTAAAACCTTCCTTCCTCTGAGGCGTAACGTTGCTGACAGGCTGGGCAGGAAGACAGAGCTGCTGGAGAATGCTGAGAAAGCCCCCAGGAGAGGCACAGGTACCAAACACACCTGGATTTCACACCCACACTTTCTGCTTAGGTTTTCTGTTTCTCCTTCTGGTGGTTCTTTTTGCATGTTGGTTGAGGGCTCAAGGTAACTTTGAATCCCACTGGAGTGGTCTCCTGTCTCATCTCACAAAATCAGGATTTCTGCAGTCTCCCTGACCTTTTCTGTTCTGTGTTTTAGTTCAAGTGCTGAAGTCCCTGAGGGAGAGGCTGGGACAGCCCTCTGACCAGAGCAGCACAGAGACAGGTAATAACTGGATATTAAATACACCTCCCCCTTTTTTCTTTCCATGAACTTCCATAGTGCCCTAAAAGTTAATTTTAAAGAGCTGCTGCCCCTTGCTGGGGTGCTGAGCTGTCCTGAGGCTGCTGTCACAGAGGTGGCTCCCACATGTCTCATCAAGGTTTGATGCTCCTGAACCATCAGAAGCTACAGTTGCTCACACACAAGTAGGAGAGAACCATTCCCAGGAGCAGGGTTTTGGGATGCCCATGGATAGACAAGGTCTAAGAAGTGACAAAATAACTGGTTCTGGTTTTCAAAATTCAGGTGGTTTAAAAGAGGGAGGAGAATGTTATTGTTAGTTGGGGTTGTTCAGCCTGGAGAAGGGAAGGCTTTGGGGTGATCTATTTGTGCCTGAAGGAGCCGACAGAAAAGATGGAGAGAGACGATTTCCAAGGGCCTGGAGTGACAGGGCAGGGGGGAATGGATTTACACCCACAGAGAGTAGGTTTAGATTGGATATTGGATATTAGGAGTGGGGAGGTCCTGGCACAGGGTGCCCAGAGAAGCTGTGGCTGCCCCTGGATCCCTGGAAGTGCCCAAGGCCAGGATGGACGGGGCTTGGAGCAACCTGGGCTAGTGGAAGGTGTCCCTGCCCATGGCAGGGGATGGAACTGAGTGAGCTTTAAGGTCCCTTCCCACTCAACCCATTCCATGATTATGCAGAGGATACTGATCTCAGCTGCATCATCTTGAAGAGCATCAAACCCCCTCTCCTTAGTGCTGTGACAGATTTTAGAGACTCAGTGTTGTTGGACTGTGTTTCAACGCTGGTGCTTCCCTTTTTTCGCTGCTGACAGAGAAGGCTGCCAAGCCCATCGAGGAGATCCGGGTGAAGACCCTGGAGGAGATTCGGCTGGAGAGGGCGAGCCAGAGGCGGGGGGAGCCCCCGGCCAAGCCCCCCGGCGAGGCCCGGAGGGCAGAGGAGCCCAGCCCAGGGACCAGACCTGCCCCCCCCGTCCGCATCAAATCCCTCTCGGGAGCCCTGGCTGAGAAGAACCACAAGAGGTTGGAGGAAGAGAAGGGAAAACCGGAGGAGTTTCCTGCCAAGCCCAAAGCCGAGGGAGAGCCCAGGAGGAGCGTTCCTGCTCCGGCCGTGCCCGGCAGGGTGCAGCTGGCAGAGCCAGGGAGAGCCAAGCCAGCGGGAGAAGTGCGGATCAAAACCTTGGAGGAGATCAAGAGGGAGAAAGCTCTGAGGATGCAGCAGAGCGGGGAGAACGTGCCCGCTCCTCCCGCACAGCCCGAGCCTGCCCTCAGAGGGAGGAAACTGCTGCGGGTCACAAAGCTCATAGGTAAGGAGGGACCTCCCTGGGGAAGTGCTTCCCTGGGGAAATGAGTCCAGTTTCCTCAGGATTCCCTTCGCTTTTTCCTTCTGTGACTACCAAGGTCAAAGGGACCGTGTTATATTCCACGAACTGCGTGATAGTTTTCTGTATTTCCCACTGGAAAATTCATTCCTTGAGGAGCTTTGTGGTCTGATTTCTCTCTTGTGTTTTTCTGCCATTGGTTTGTGGTATGGGATCTTCCCTGTGCAGAATCCAGGGTTACATTCCTCTTTGGAATATGTGTTTATTGATATATGTGTGTTTGGGAAGGATGTATCAACTTGTTAACGAGGGCATTAAAGACCTCATCGTTAAGATTATATAAACCACATATAAAGAGATCGAGGGAGAGATGAGACACTTCAGGAATTGCTTCCTGTAGCCTTTCCCTCTGTCCTGAGACATGAGAAAATAAACACACCAAGGAAACCAGGTTTCTTTACCTCTGCTGTTGACAAAATACTTATTTTTCACTTCTGCTTGTTTTAAAGCACCTGGAAGAGAAGAAAAAATGATAGTGGAATTGAACAAACCTTCTCCAAAAACTGTCTCTGCACCTGCAGAGGTGAGTCTGTTGTGAAAACTTAGAGATGTACATTTGTACATAAAATTTCTGATAAATTTTGCCATGTTTTGTTTGTAAACTCACTTCCTGCTCCCAGTTGGAATGTGTTCCTACCTTTCCTCATTTGGTATTTGCTGCAGTGAAGTCCCAGGTCCTGTCCCTTCCAGTAGCATTTCCAGACAACAGCATAATCCTCACTTTGAATTAATTAATTAATTTGAACTAAAACCTGGAATTAATCTGATTACACCTCACAATGAAACCTATTAGAGAGGTTAATGTGGGGAGAATGGTTTTGTTCTCAGTGACTTTCTCTGGCAAACTTTGGGCATGTCTTGAAATTCTGAGCTGAGTATTTCAGTGACGAAGGCCGGAGGTTTCACGAGAGGACATCAGGCTGTATGGGGGAGCTTGTATGGCTTTGTAGTCCTTGAAAAGAATGGAGAGGGTACAGCTAGAGTCTTCTGCTCCATGAAAGCAGCTTGCTGTGTTGGGAATTGCAGGCTTTTGAAACGTTATTACCAGAGCAAAGCAGGGATCTTGTTACAGGCAACATTTTACACAAAAAATGTTGGATTTCAATGGTGCCACATGGAGCCATTTTGGAGGGGTTGCCACCCAGATTTTCCTAATGGAATCTCCATAGATTTTTGTCCTAGTAATCCTTTTCTTTTTTTATTTGTTTTTTTAGCCCTCTGGTCAGAGTGCAGCTAATTCCACAGTGCAGGTGAAGAGCCTGGAGGAGATCATGTGGGAGAAGCGGCAGCTGAAGCAACGCCAGGAGAAGCTTCAGAAGGAAGCAGCTGCTGTGCCAACCCCAGTGGAGAAACCAGCCAAGGATAAAACTCCCCCATCAGGGAGCCCTGAATCCACCGTGGTTTCAGGACCAGCTTATCAGCTGGGGAGGAGGAAACTGGTGAAGCCTCAGGAGGACGGGGTGGGAAGCCCAGAGAAGGACCCCACAGTGTCCCCAGGGAAAAAGGCAGCCCAGCCTCCGGAACGGAAAGCTAAAAGTGAGTGTTGAGTGTCAGCTCGGGGTGTGTTGTGGAGAGCAGCCTGGGGAGAAGGGCCATGTGTGCTGGAACCAAACCAAATCCTGGGCCGCATCCAACTGAGTGTGGCCAGCAGGGCAAGGGAGGGGAGAACCCCCTCTTATCTGCTCTGGTGAGATCCCACCTGGAGTCCTGTTTCCAGTTCTGGTGCCCCCAACAGAAGAAGGATGTGGAACTGGTGGAGGAAGGCCAGGAGGGGTCTTGGAGTCAATAAAGGGACTGGAGCACCTGCCCTGTGGAGACAGGCTGGGAGAGCTGGGGGTGTGCAGAAGGTTGTGTGAACACCTCACAGCACCTTCCAGGACCTGAAGGGCTACAAGGCAGCTGGAGAGGGACTGTTCATCAGGAAACAGGGACAGGACGAGGGGAATGGCTTCACACTGAAAGAGGGGAAATTTAGGTTTGATACACAAAAGCAGTTCTTCCCTGTGAGGGTGGGCAGGCCCTGGCACAGGTTGCCCAGAGAAGCTGTGGCTGCCCCATCCCTGGAAGTGTCCAAGGCCAGGCTGGACAAGGCTTGGAGCAACCTGGGCTAGTGGAAGGTGTGGAACGGGACGATCTTTAAGGTCCCTTCCAACCCAAACTATTTTCCAAGTCTATGACTGTGGGACTATTAAGAACCTGTTGTTTTTTTGACCCAAGGCAGAGCAAGGCTGTGCCGTCTCTCTTCCTTCTGTTCCAGCCAAATCCAAGGTGTGCCTGAAGCCTTTGGACGGGAGAGCCACGTCCTCCCCGAGGCAGACCCTGAAACGCAAGGCCACCGAGAGCCACCCCACTGCCGTGGTGGCCGTGAAGCCCCTCAGTGCCACCGGTGGGGACACCAAGGAGCCCTCAGCCAAGAAAGCAGCTGCGGTAAGGACAGTGCTCGAGCCAGCTGGGGGGCCCCAGGAACGTTTATGGCCAAATCTTGCCCTCTTCTGGGAGAAGAGGTGGAAAACTGAAATACCTAGGGAAGATTTTTACTGTCTTCCTTCTCCCCAGGCCGTGGCTCCTGCTTTGCCAGAGGACAGCCTGGTCTCCATACCTCGGAGGGAAAAACCTCAAAGCAGGTAACAGTCACACCTTTGTCCCTTTTCTTGATCTCTGCCGCTTTCATGTGAAACAGGTGGGTTTGTTCACGTGTGGAAAATTTCGAGGTAATCAGTGCCAAAATCCCAACAAAGAAACAATTAATTTGAAGTAATTTCTGTAGCAGCAATGCTTATTTAGGTGGTTTTCTTAAAATGCTGCACTTGGGTACAGCATTTCAGTGACTCTTTGGATTTTCTGAGTGGCTGTAGAGGTTCACTTCTTCCCCTTTTTATGGTCAAATCAGTAAAGGTGGAAAAGTCTCTCTGGCTACAAATACTGACAGTTCTTTCCCAGACTCCAGGTGTTTCTTCATGGATAAATCCCCAAACTGACAACTGTACCTGCTGATCCTGGACTTTTAAAAGTAGTCCCAGGTTAACTGAGTGACAGTCGCTGTGTGAGGGTTGAGATGTAGGAGGGTTAAATTCCAGGTAAGGAATGTCACACACTGATGTTCCCTCTTGTTCTTCCCAGCCCTGAGCTCCACCTCGGGAGCCAGGCAGACTCCCTGGCACACTCAGAGGTCTCCAGCTCAACTTCAGCCTCCTCAGAAGTGCCGGTGAAGCTGCGCCGGCTGAGCTCCACGGGCTCTGCCAAAGCACCTCTGTCTGTGGAAGACGACTTTGAGAAGCTCATTTGGGAAATCTCAGGAGGCAAACTGGAAGCAGAGATTGACCTGGACCCAGGGAAGGACGAGGATGACCTCCTTCTGGAACTTTCGGAGATGATTGACAGCTGAACTGCACAGTCTTAAAAAAAAAAAATTAAAAAAAAAGACAAAAAAAAAACAACACCAAAAAAACCCCCATAAACTTCCCCCCTACACAACCCCCAAACCTGTATATTTTGTTGGCTACGTGGAGGTGATCCTTTCCTAGCTGAGGCTGAAGGCACAGTTGGATGGGTAGGATTAGGCAGGATCTGCACTCAGTTGTCCTGAATTTCCCCGGGACTGTCGGTGGCTCCTTCCACACGGAGTGTGGAAGCACTTGTGTTTTTTTTCTGGGGACACAGAGATCCCATCTCCGGACTGTGGTGGTTGTGAACTGATCTGCTCATTCTGTGACACTCCGAAGGCTTCAAACAAAAGCTTCCACCTTCCCCCCTCCCTGGCACGACCCAACGTTCAGCACATTTCAGCGCTTCGTGTTCGGATCCCGTGGACAGTTGGTACCCAAAGCCTGGAGTTACTATGTCAACTCTTGAGTTTTACTGCTGTACGCTGTCATTTTGACTTTAATTAGGGGAATTAATGACAATGCTGGGGGGGAGGGGGAGGGAGCAGATTAATTAGTATTTCGGACCAAACACGCTGCCAAGGGCGGTGGCTGGGGTGTGTCCATCCAGCCTTACTTTGAATTATCAGGGTGCTTTTTCCCGATGGGAACAGGATCCTGGGGTGGGCAGCCAGGATTCCTCTCGTCGTCTGCAGTGAATTGGGAAAGGAAGGATTGGTTTAAGTGCCTCTTGGTTCCAAGGATTGCTCCCCTGAGCTGCCAGTCCTTCATCCTGCTGAAGGAATTCCTCAGCCGTGACTCCGCCAGCATCCGTCTCACATGCCCATGGAATGACTCTGGGAGAGAGGAAGAGGGCATGGAAGGTTTCCTCCTCCTCTATCAGCCCGTGGAGGCGGGGTTTTGGTGTATACCATGGTTTCTGTAAATATTTTATTCTTCCATTTTATATTTGTATTCTATTTAAGGTATTAAACGTAGGCTGGTCACCTCCGCCCGCCCCGCTCGTGTCTGTACAGACCTGGTTCTGGTTTCTATGTGTATTTTATTTAAGGAATTGTATTAAACACCGTCTGGTCGCCTCCTCCTTCCCTGTAGCCGAGTGTTTATAAATAAATAAGCGCAGGAGCAGGGTCAGGGGTGTTTGGGGGCTCAGGGGAGTTGACCAGGGCAGGGATTGTCCCCCTGTGCTGAGGGACCTCAAATCTTGTGTCCAGTTCTGGTCACTCAGTTCAGGAGGGACATTGAGGGGCTGGAGCTTGTCCGGGGAAGGGAACGGAGCTGGGAAGGGGCTGGAGCAGCAGGAGAACTGAGGGAGCTGGGGGGGCTCAGCCTGGAGAAAAGGAGGCTCAGGGGGGACCTTCTGGCTCTGCAACCCCCTGACAGGAGGGGGGAGCCGGGGGGGGTCGGGCTCTGCTCCCAGGGAACGAGGGACAGGAGGAGAGGGAACGGGCTCCAGCTGAACATTCATTCCCGCTTTCCCGCCCTCCCGGAGCAGTAGAGCCGCGGTCCTCCGGGCCGCGCAGTCCGCCGCTATCCCAGAGTGCCCCGCGGCCCCGGCGCGCGGGCAGGCAGCGGCAGCCATGGCGTACCGCGGGCAGGGCCAGAAGGTGCAGAAGGTGATGGTGCAGCCCATCGTATCCTGCACGGCCCGCGGGGAACGCGGGGGGAACGCGGGGGGCTGCGGGGGGCGGGGGCTGCCGGCCGGGAGGGGGCCGCGGGTCGTGGGGCACCCCCGGCGGAGCGCGGGTGCCGGGCCGCGGGGCCCGGGTGGGATCCCTCGGGGGGTTGTACCGTGGGGGTCGCGGGTTTCAGTCCCGGGTGGTCACAGGTTTCAGCTCCCGAGGGTCGCGGGTTTCACCCCCCCGGATCGAGGGTTTCATTCCTGGGGGTCGCAAGTTTGATCCCTCGGGGTTCCTTCCCCCGAGGACCGCGGGTTTCGCCCCCCGGGCTGTGTCCCCGGGGGTCCCTGGCCGTGCCGGACCTTAACCCTCCCCTCCAGAACCTGATCTTCCGATACCTGCAGAACGTGAGTACCTGGGGGTGGCACCTCTTCCCAGTATCCAATTTAAATCTACTTTGTTTCAGTTTAAAACCGTTTGGGGAGTGTCTGGTGCTCCTTGAGCACGTGGCCTGTGCTGCCACACCAGGCTGGGGTTGTTATTAATTCGGGTTTTGACCCGGTTTCGGTGGAACTGAGGAACTCACAGTCATTCAGAGGGGTGAGAACAGCTCAACATTTCCTTCCCCCAGCCAGGAATTACCTGTGTAACAGGTGTTGATCCTGCGGTCCGGGGTGTGGGATGTTTTCACAGAACCCCAGCATGGTTTGGGTTGGGAGGGACCTTGAAGACCCTCTAGTTCCACCCCCTGCCTTGGGCAGGGACACCTTCCACTGTTTCCCTGTGACAATTAAAAACCTCTGCTGTCCTGTGTTTCATTATTAAATATTGTTAATTAGTATTTATTAACTGTTATTTATTATTACTTAATTAATTATTGACAAAACATCAAAAAACACCAGAGGACATAACAGAGAGACTCCTCTGAGAGCTGCAGTGGCTGTTGGCAGCGAGGAGCCCTGGATGCCCAGGAGGGAACAAACTGCTTGGGGTGTTCATGTTCCTGTTTTACTCTCCCTCTCCGTGATTTTTAGAGATCCAGGATCCAGGTGTGGCTCTATGAGCAGGTGAACATGAGGATAGAAGGCTGCATCATTGTGAGTATCACTGTTCCCTTGTCACTGCTCTGATCATTTTGGGGAGGGGGGGTCAGGTTCATAAATCCATTTCTTCCTTCTTTTCCCGTTGTTTTCCAAGAATGGGGGTGGAAATGCTTCATGTCTCTCCTGTAAAGAGCCTTAATTGCAGAGCTGAGGAGGGTTTGTGGGGTGGTTGCTGAATTTTACCTCCCTGACTGTGTTTGGTGCTGTTTGCAGGGCTTTGATGAGTACATGAACCTGGTGCTGGATGATGCAGAGGAGATTCACTCCAAAACAAAGTCCAGGAAGCAGCTGGGTAGGTCAGAGTGGCTGTGGCACCTGAGGGAGCCTGGGATCCAGGTTTGGGACCCGGGATCCAGGTGTGGGAGCCTGAAGCTCATGTGGAGCAGACACTGGGCCCAGTTCCTGCTGTTTCCCGAGCTGGTGGATTTGTTGAATGTGCAGGAAAACGTGTCTGGGCCTGAGAGCACGTTTGGGCTTTCAAACAGCTCTAACAAATCCAGGCTGGACAGGGCTTGGAGCAGCCTGGGCTGTGGAAGGTGTCCCTGGGCTGTGGAAGGTGTCCCTGGGCTGTGGAAGGTGTCCCTGGGCTGTGGAAGGTGTCCCTGGGCTGTGGAAGGTGTCCCTGGGCTATGGAAGGTGTCCCTGGGCTGTGGAAGGTGTCCCTGGGCTATGGAAGGTGTCCCTGGGCTATGGAAGGTGTCCCTGGGCTGTGGAAGGTGTCCCTGCCCATGGCAGGGGGTGGCACTGGATGGGCTTTAACCCAGCCCACACCATTCCATGGCTCTGTGGTCTCTCCAATCCCTGTTTCCCTTGTGTTGCAGGTCGGATCATGCTGAAAGGGGACAACATCACCCTGCTCCAAAGTGTTTCCAACTAGGATTTGTTCTTCACAACAGTGGCTGGAATGCTCTGGAGTGACTGAAGTGTCCGTGGGAGCAGGACTGGGCAGTGGGGAGGGAGTTGTGATAACTGGGGCTGTGCCAGGGCTGGGAACTGCCCCTTCCTCTGGGGGGGATTTTTTTTGTAGTTTGATGTATTTGGCAAATAAACATTTTTCATGTTACCTGTAAATGTAAACCTTGTTTTCAGTTCTCAGGGTGCAGAGAAGGGGCAGAAAGGTCTCCAGGTGGTTTTCTCTGTGGAGTCTCTGATAAACACCTGTGTGTTGTGGGGTGTTAGATCTGGTTTAGGAGGAGACTCTAAAAATTCAGACCACTCCAGGTAATTTTGAAGTAACTATTTTTGCAGTAATGTGGGACTTTTTTACTAATAGTGTGTGCTTAAAAATTTTTTGTTTAACGCAGAAAATTAAATAGAAAGAATTAGAAAAAATTAATTTAATTTGCCTGGGTGCTGAGCTCCAGTTTATCCACTGAAATAAAAGTGGGAGCCTCCAAGGGTTTGTCCTCCCTCTGAGCACGTGGCTGGCACGGAAAAGAGATGGACATGAGGAGAAATGGCTGGTCCTTATCAGCCCTGCTGCTGCCAGCTCCAAATGGAGCACTCTGAGAGTCCCTGATGCCTCCAGAGCTCCTCTGATATGATCAAATTAGCGCCGCTGGACGTCGATATTGGAGCAGGTCGAGGATGGGAGGAAGGAAGTCCAGGCTAATCAGGGCCGAGGCATCTCCGATAAGGTCCCGAAATAGTCCCTAATTATGTGCGTGGGGGAGCTGCAGGAGAAAAGAGGCTCCCGGCAGGAAGCCATGGAGCTGCAAAGGGCCTCCAGGAGAGCCCTGCATGTCCAGGAGGAAACACAGCCCCATTGTTCCAGCAGCTCCTGGCACTGCAGCCTTGCGGTCCAACAACAGCTCCTGGGCATGGCCAGCCCAGGGACAGGGCACAGAAACAATCCGGGCCCGAGAAACACTTGTCTGTCCTCCGAAAAACCGCAGGGCTGACTCATCCGAAGGCTCGCGGAGCGTTTTAACCCCGAATCCTTCCAGCTCCCGGCGCCTTCCCGGGCTGCAGGCAGGGAGAAGGTGACGGCTCCGGAGCTGCTCGGCCGGGGAGCCGAAATTCCTGCCGGAACGGGACAAAGTGGCTGCCAAGGAGTTCGCTGGACAGAAGAGGGAGCTGCGGGCTCGGCGGCTCCAGCCCCGCCAGCCGAGCGTGTCAAGCCTCGGCAGGAACTCCGAGTTCCTCAGCAGCGTTACCGGCTCCCAGACAAGCTGGAAGGCAGCGAACTGGGCTGACTGGTGCGGGGTTTGCTCTGCAGTGTTCCCACCTGGATCTCCCGGGCACCAGCGGCACCTTCCCCTGCGGCCGGAGGGGATGAGGAGTGGAAGGTTCTGGGCGTGCTGAGCGGGGAGGAGGAGCGGGCAGAGTGAGTGCTTCCCTTGGGG